GGCCCGCGGTGTCCCGCTGGTGTCCCGCGGTGTCCCGCGGTGTCCCGCGGTATCCCGCGGTGTCCCGCGGTGTCCCGCCGGTGTCCCGCGGTGTTCCGCGAGGATGATGATGATGAGATGATGATGATGATGATGATGATGATGATGATGATGATGAAGCTGATGATGAAGCTGATGATGATGAAGCTGATGATGATGATCATGATGATGATGATTAGATGATTAGATGATTAGATGATGACGGTGTCCCGATGAAGATGATGATGTTGATGATGGTGTCGATGATGATGATGATGATGATGATAGTGTCCCGATGATGAGGATGATGATGATCATGATGATTATGTTGATGATGATGACGATGATGGTGTCGCGATGATGATGATGATGATGATGATGATCCTGGTGATGATGATGATGATGATGATGATGGTGTCCCGATGATGATAATAATGATAATGACGATGTTGATAATGATGTTGCTCATGGTGATGGTGCCCCAATGATGATGATGATGATGTTGTTGATGATGATGATGTCGATGATGATGCGATGATCATGATGATGATGGTGTCCCGAGGATGATGACGATGTTGATGATAATGTTGATGATGAGAACGATGGTGATCATGATGGTGTCCCGATTATGATGACGATTATGATGATGCTGCTGATGATGATGGCGATGACTGTGTCCCCATGATGATGATGTTGATGATGGGATGATGATGGTGATGATGATGATGTTGTTCCGATGATGATGCTGACGTTGACGATGGTGTTTATGATGATGATGATGATGATGATGGTGATGACGGTGCCCTCATGATGATGACGATGTTGGTGATGATGTTGATGTTGATGATGTTGATGATGATGATGATTTTTTACTCGGCATCAGGACCAATCAAACTGGAACCAGCTTGCAAACGTAGAAAGTTGATCCGCCGCAGAGTGCCAAGGAACTCGCGAGGCCCCGTTCGTGGGCGGCGGTCGCGAGGGTGCTGGCACAGGGGGGCTGCGCTGCGCTGCCTCGTGACGGATGGCATCTATGAGAAGAAAGCTTGTGCCGCCTCATCTTCGGCGTCATACTCAAACTCAAAATCAAAGGGGGCCTGCGTGCTGCTTTGCTGGTCGGGCGCACTCGAAGAAACGGGCACGAGTGCTGACGAGGCGCCCGTGGCAGGCGAGAGCACAGAGACTGGCAGTGGCGCATCCTGCGCTGGCAGGCTGGGCGGCACGAGCACTGGCTGGACTGAACTCGCCCTAGGCGCTGAAAAGAACGTGCCTTGATGTGGCGCTGGCGTCTCTAAAGAAACTGATGGCGTGAGGGGAGCGGCGTACATGTGGTGAACTGTCACACCGCTCATGGACGCAGGCAGGGATTCACCTCTAACAAAACGAATTGCTACTGCTCGAGAGTCTCCAGCCAGTGAGCTACTTCTTCCTCGAGCCATCCTGCTGGCGCCACTCCGCGGCGGTGCTGAGCCGATCCCTCCGACGCCAGCGCCTTCTGAATAATGAGGCGCCCTTCCCATGTTGGGGCCCCGATGATGAGCTTCATCTTGTCCGTGTCGAAACAACCCTCGAGCCGTATGAAGCTGATGGCGGTCTGCAGGTCGTCCTTGGAGATTTCCACCTCCACGTCTGGGTCCACCGGCTGTACTTTCTCGAGGTACGTGGCGATCTCTGCCTTGAGCGAGCCCCCGATGTCGCACCTCTGGAGGCTCTCGAGAGCTGCGAGGCCCAGCGCTGGAGCGGGCGAGCCGATCTCCTTGAGCCTGGTCTTGTCGGCGGGGTCTCCGCTCCTGCGAAGCTGGTCGAGGAGCTGTTTGTAGCCCTCGAGCTCGTTCGTGATTCCGTCGATGACGGGGTGCTTGTTGCTCATCGTGTACGTGTCGATGCCGATGCTGCTGTTGAGTCTGGTCTTGTGGGTGGTCTGGAGCAGCAGCTTCAGCGTGGATCGCAAGAGACTCAGGAGGTTCTTGTCCTTGCTGCTCCAGACCTTGTCGTTGTGTGCGCCGCGCCTGGCCCTGCGGCCGCCCCTGCGCTTCCTGCGCAGGCCCTGCCCGTCTGCCGCTGCGGCCTCGCCCTCGTCCTCGTCCGCAGCCACTGGGGGGCGCGGGGACTTCGAGCTCTGGCCTGCTGGCGGCTGCCGAGCTGGGGGCGATCGCAGGCGCGCCTTGGCGTGTGGTGGCTCCCCTGGCTTGGAGGCGCTGCCAGATCCCTTGGAGCCCGCTGAGGAGTCCAGGGGGATGCGCCAGGGCGCCCGCGCCGCCTTGGCTGGCGTCGGCGGGGGGACCTTCCCTGCTGGCGGCGCCGTCGCCGCGCCTGCTGCTCGTTCCTCGCTGGCGGCTGCAGCTGCCGTCATGCTGCACAGGAAGCGGCGGGAGTGTAGGCGTCGAAGCTCTGACCTCACTGTTCACGAGCTCGCAGGCTGAGGGCACTGGCGTGTCAGCACGTCGAGGAGCTCTGCGGACCTGTCGGCGCCCGTCTCTTAGGTGTCCTGGCCTCAGGATGAGGTCGGCTGCTCGACGCAGCGCTGCCCGTACACCAGCGGTGTCCTCAATCACTTGCGGCCGCGGGTGCTGTGGATGGCGGGAAACTCGCAACGCTGGGCTCGATCGTGTCGAGCGGAACTCCGTCCTGAGAACTGGTTTGAGCAAGGAACCCGATGGCGACGGCGGGAGGTGGGAGAGAAGGTGTCTCCGTAGCTGTTCGGGGGCCTGGTATTCATGATGACATGCGGGATCTAGGTCATATTCACGAAGAGGGCATGTAGTGCATGTAGTACATGTGGCCCAGGGATAAGCATGGTGAGTAAGTTCAGGTATACATCGGCCCGCATGCCATGCTCGCCTTAAGTGTCGTACTGCATGGTCTCTGTTGGGGAATGTTGTATTGCATATTAGGCATCTGTTATCCACCTGTATTGTAGTTAAGATAGACGGCATACCATGTCCCACTTCCCTCGATTTAGTTTGATGCGTGACGAGCTGTTTCAACGTGTTGAAGCGCTTACCACAGTTCTCGATCGTGCACTCGAACGGTTTGTTGATTTCGTCATCGCTGTCGGTCTCGGCGTGCGCATTCGCGGAGGGGAGGGAGTCGTTGAGGGTGATGTGTCCTGGAGGGGCCCATTGGGAGGTCCAGTAGGAGGCCCGAAGTGCTCGAACGTCGCAATACAAGAAGGTCTCTCGAACGTATTCGTCCTCCCACAATGTTTTGACCACGGTCGGCTGCCACACCTCCTTAAAGCTCTCGCCTATTGGGTGTGTAGTCAAGCAGAGAAGGTCGTCCGCAAGCTGCTGTGCCCACGGGTGTATGCTCGAGCCGCCAGCGATAGTACCCTGCTCACTGAGGGTGGCCGCACTGACGGGGCGGTTGCTTGTGGCCGCCTGCTGCTCGAACCGACATCGTCCAAAAAAGAGAGCGAGAAACTGGCCATGGTGGGTCGGATCACGGATGATGCTCTGCCACCAGCTGAGTCTGCGCACAAGAAGTTCGATGGCCGACGGTGCGATCTGCCACTCCTTAAACACCTGCTGAGTAGTGAGGGAGTGGTGGGTGTTCTGGTCATCGACGGTGTGTGCCTTGCCTTGCATCATAGCTCTAAGTTTGCGTGCGAGCGAACTATCTAGACGATGAAATTCCCGAGGACGTAGTACGTAGCTTTCCAGGCCCGACCAGAGACGTCCCGCCACGTTCGAGAGGAAAGATAGTCGCTTTGCCTTCCAAGGGCCTCCAGAGAACCAATAGTTACCCAGGCGCGTCCATCCAACATTGGACGACTGGAGCCTAGCTTCGAGTTCACGTCTGTTGTTGTTCGAGACGTGTACATATCCCCCAAGATGAATGAGATCCTGAACTGCATTCCCAGATATATGACGTTCTGTGTCTTTAGTGGCCCCGTGGGTCCCAAGAGATACGAGGGTGTCTTGCTTGCCTATATTCTGAGCGTACCCGCCTAAGTTCAGGGCCTCCGAGAGCGTATTGTTGTCAATCTTATCTAGCTGCAGAGCCTGGAGCGCGGCGCCGTCGGGCACGAGCAAAATCTTAAAGAGGTCATCTATGAACGCGCCCAGGTTCGCATCGAACTGCACTGAAGTAAAAGGGCAGACAACTTGAAACGGGTTTCCTTGAACTTCGGCCATCTCCTCATTCCACCTGGACACCAATGGATAGAAACTTTCCATAAAGAGCTCTGGTTCATTCGAATCTCCCATCCTTCCTCCTGTTCCTGGCCGAAGGGCAAGGCTGGTGTCAGATGCCTGAAGGTAAACTACCGCTTCGGTACGGTGCTGCTCAAGAAGGGGGTGAAAATGCTCGTCCGTGCACCGAACGGTGTGAGCGGCGAGGAGCCTCTGGTGGTCGCCCGTTGCGAAGGCATTCCTCATGTCATAAGACTTCGCAATGAAGGAAAGGCGGGCGGCGCGTAGCTTCCAAATCAACAGCTTGGCGATCAGCATGAGAGACTCGCGTCGGCGAGAGTAGATGCCGCCGTAGGCCCATGATGGCGGTGCGTAGGACGCACCATATTGGACTAATCCGACACGGAGGTAAAGACGCCAGAAATGATCAAAACAATGAAGCAAACGTACACTAGTGTGGATGTCGGTGATGGCGTTGCCAGTGGGGCTCTTGCCTTTCTTGCCGATCGCAACTGCGTGGCTGGTCACTGCTTGAGCTGGTAGAGATCCACATCGATGGATGTGGGCGAGTAGGTTGATGAAGGTCTGGATGATGGTTTCGCAGTGGGCGTGGTCGAGCTGGAGCTTGCGCTTGCTCGGGGGGCTGATGTGGTGGGCGAGTGGGTCGGCGTGTTGGTAGTCGGCGTCGGTGTGTCCTAGTCCCACTTGCTGGAGGCCTGGTCGAGTCAGGTACTGCGGGTTGAGTAGCATAATGGTGATCTCGATTGGCCATGCCCAGGGCGGGTTGTATCTGCGGCGCTTCTCTCGCCACAGACGCTTCTGAATGTGCTCCAGCTCCTCGGCGGCGGCCTCGACGTCGGCGGTGTCGGGTGCACCTGTAAATTCCCCCACCGGTGCCAAGTCGTTGGCGCGCTCGAGCATGCGCGGGATGGTGGTGGGGTCGTCGATGTACATGCTGACGTAGGCTGGGTTCGCCGTCATGCCCCCGTTGATAGCCAATTCGCCGAGAGCGGCGGTGTACTCAGCGGCTGTAGGGCGTGTGGACGGTAGCGCAAGGTATGAACGTCGTCGTGGCCCAGTGCGGCGACCCGCACGTAGGTAGGTGAGGTGAGCCACTCGTGAGAGGTCCCGTGATGCCCATGCGTCTCGTATGTCCTGGTCCAGACTGGCCTTCCACCAATAATCCATCCATCGTTGATGTGCTCGTAATTGATGTTGAATGTCGCGTAGAACGGTGCTGTTGAAGGGGAGGCGTCGCGCTCTATGGTGTGCTCGGAGCTTGAGGAGGTCCAAGCGGTCGTGGCGTGCCTTCTGGTACCAGTGTGGTTGTTGGCCCTCCTTAGTGTAGTACTTGCGGCTACATTCGCGGATAATGTGTGCCAGTAATGCATTGTGTCTGGTAGGGAATTGGTCCATTTTTATAACACGAAAGGCTTCACGGTGGGACTCGATGGTGGTGGCGACGTCCTGGATGAAGGTGGCACGCTGGTCTCCAACTTGAAGTCCCGCTGCAAGTAGGCCCCAATCCCAAGGTATGTGGTGCTGAAGTGGAGAGCCGCTGCTGACAGGGACCTTGAGCTGCATGGCCATTGGGATGTGGTCGGGGACGTGGTGGAGGCACCGTAGGATATTGTGGATCTTCCAATTGAGGCGGATGTATTTGATGATTTCGGTGACGTTGTCGGGGCCAATGAAGTAGTCGATGCGTGAGCGGGATCGTTTGGGCCCATAGTACGTGTGGCCGACGTCCGCGTGCGCGTTGTAGGCCGTGAGTTCGTAGCGGAGCATCTGGTCGTGGACGTACCTGCCGAACTCCGTCTCGTCGCCGCCTTGGTATGGGCCGATGGAAGTGTCTGTGAACGGCTGTCGTGCTCGGCGGCCCAGTCCCTGGTTGAGGTCCGTGAAGAGGATCGGAGTGACCCGCGAAGGGACGTCGTTCACGGCCGTGAGCACCCAGGACCAGAGTCGTTGACACCCATGGCGCCAGGCTCGTTGTTGTCCAGGTACGTTGGGGCGTGGTGGGAAGTAGGCGGTGACAAAGCGCAGGCGTAGTGGTCCTCTATGTACTTCAACTGCTCCAGCTCGTCCGCGGAGGTCAGGTGTCGGTGGGTGGAGGATCTTGACGATGTCGCTGCGTCGGAAGTGGCGCTTGGCAAGAGCTATGCTGCAGCCCGCGGAGCTGTTCGTGTGGGCGCCGCGGCCCCATCCGAAGTGGACCCAGTGATGATGTAAGGATTCGTCCACGTGATGAGGCGTGTCAGGCGTACGTTGTCGTATCTTCGTGCCGACACACAGTATGGCCTGGTAGCTGCGGCACGTGTCGGAGATGAGGTCGAGTCGGCCTGGTTCGCCCTTGAGCGAGAAGGGGTTCCACCCCAAGATGGTGATCGGCTTGAGCGAAGCCTGTGGTGGCCGTACGTTGGGATCGCCATCCGTGGGTGTGTCGTGCGGGTTGCGTGGTGGGCATGGTGGGTTGGCAGGAGCGCTAGGTGGTTGTGGGTGGGCGTGGGGCACAGGGCCCGTAGGAGCGCTGGAGTCGGAGGCAGGTCGAAATTCGCGATGCTCTGCTAGCAATACATGTTCGGCGGTGTCGCGAAATAGACGGGGAGGAAGGGAGCCTCTGGATTCGCGTAGATCGTGTAATTCAAGTCGGCGGCCTCTAGCGTCCTGTGGTACATGGCTGGGTTCCCCACCATCACGAGGGTCGAGGGGGCGTGGGTCGCGTTGATGTACAGCTGAGGGTAGTTCGGGAAGAGGATCGGCATCGTGATGAGGAGGTCCAGTATCTTGGAGCACGCTGTCCAGTGCAGCCTGTAGTAGTCGCGTAGCGTCTCCTGCACGTGGTGGGGGGAGTGTCGTCTGCATCTCGTAGTGGTGGCGTTCCTGGCACAGCTGCTTCTCGGTGTCGTCCATCAGGCGCGAGGTGCCCGCACACTGGAGCACGCGCCTCGAGACATCGCAGCACTGAGAACGGGGTGGCTGCCGTGGGTGGCCCTCCGCCTCTGGGCTCGGCGGAGAGGGCTCTGGCTGGAGGCCGCTGAGTCTCCGAAAAGCCTGAGCAAGCGGCGGCCTTATGATGATGATGATGATGATGATGATGATGATGATGACGTTGATTGTGAGAGCGATTGTGATATCGATAGTGAGATCGATATTGAGACCGAATGTGAGATCGATTGTGTGATCGATTGTGCGATCAATTGTGAGATCGATCGAATGAGATAGATCGAGTGAGAGCGATTGTGAGATGGATCGAGTGAGATCGATCGAGCGAGACTGATAGTGAGATCGATACTGAGATCGATAGTGAGACCGATCGAGTGAGACGTTGGTTCCCCCCCCCGAACCTCCTTATCACCCGAAGGGTGGTCGTATAGGTAGTTTGGTTTTGGGATACCCTCCTTGCTCAGGCGGGGCCTGCCTAGAGGGCTGGAAGGGGCAGGAAACATTATAAATACCATGGTTTTGGGATACCCTCCTTGCTCAGGCGGGGCCTGTCTGGAGGGGTGGGAGGGGCACGAAACATTGTAAATACCATGGTCTTGGGATACCCTCCTCGCTCAGGCGGGGCCTCCCTGGAGGGGTGGGAGGGGCACGAAACCTGATAACTGGTATGGGTTGGCAGGTATGGTATATTATAATACGTATGGTATGGTAAGGGATGGCAGGTCATAGGATAGGTATGGTGTGGCAGGTACGGCAGATATGGCAGACATGGTAGGTATTGGTAGAGTCTGGCAGATATGGTACTGTATAGGTGAAGGAAGCAGAGAAGGAGGAGAAGGAGAAGGAGAGGGTGATCTAGGAAAACAAGACACCCACTCAGGATGTGGGGAACAACACAGAACGCCCCCTGTCTCCAAATTCGGAGCCTGCGTAACCAACCCGATACGGGCCCCCCCACCATCCATGTCAAAAAACCATGCAACGTACACTGTGGGGCAAAGTCTTGAGTCATGTTCGTGAGGCCCGCGGGCACTTTGTATTGTTTTTTGAAAGGGGCGGCTATTGCCTGCTGTGCGCAGGGCCACCATCCCTGTCAAAACCAATACAAATTGCATCTCGCGGCTAAATCTAGATCATGCGCGGCCACCCCGCGATCACTGTCAAGTGGTTTTTGAAAGGGACGGCGGGGGGGGTGGCGAATGGCCTGCTGTGTACAGGGCCACCAGACATCATGACGGGCACGGGTTTTCGACAAGGATGCTGAGGGCCGACACGTTTCCCGATGTGTGCTGTCACGTGCGCAGGCGCACCTGACACTCTCTGCACGTGCCTTGAACGTGGTGCACCCGGCGCCGCTTGAGTATGCGGCACACCTGGCGCACGTGGAGCACGTAGCGCCGCTGGCGCACCAGGCGTGCCTGGCACGCTCGGGCCCCAGTGGTGCCTGGCGCGCGTGGCGCGCCTGGCACGCGCGGCGCACTTCGCCCCAGCGTCGCGCACATGATGGGCTCGGTTTTGGTTCCCAGTAGCTGTCCATTCAAAGACGACCGCTGAACATGAGAGGCTCGGGTGTTACTTACGCGTTGGGAGGGCGGGTGGGAATGATCTAGACGGCTAGCTATCTAGGAGGGTGCCTTGATCACTGTTCCCTATTAGTATACACCCCATCCCCCCAGGAGACCGGCAGCCAACCAGGAACAATCAGGGCCACCCCCCACCATCCCTTTCAAAGACAATACGAACACACACTCTGCCTCCACATTTGGAGCCTGCGTAACCAACCCGATGCGGCCCCCCCACCATCCATTTCAAAAAACAATACAAAATACACTTTGGGGCAAAGTCTGGAGTTGTGTTCGCGAGGCCCGCGGGCACTTTGCATGGTATTTTGACAGGGACGGCTGGGGTGTCAGCATATTGTCTGCTGCGCGCAGGGCTACCATCCCTGACAAAAAAAAACAGTACAAAATGCACCTCTCGGCTAAATCTGCTTTATGCGCGGCCACCCCGCGATCACTGCCAAGAGGTGGCGTATGGCCTCCTGTGCGCAGGAGGAGGAGGAGGAGAAGGAGGAGGAGGAGGAGGAGGAGGAGGAGGAGGAGGAGGAGGAGGAGAGGAGGAGGAGGAGAAGGAGGGGGTGGAGGAGGAAGAGGAGGCGGAGGAGGAGGAGGAGGAGGAGGGGGGCCGACGCGGCACACCTGGCGCACGTGGAGCACGCAGCGCCTCTGGCGCACCAGGTGGCACGCCCGGGCCCCAGTGGTGCCTGGTGCGAGGCGGGGATTTATCCATATCCACAGCCTGGGAACCGACGTCCTGGTGCCCCAGCGGGCGGTGGATATGGATAGATGTCGGCCCCCGGGGGGCCCGAACATGTTCAAATCCACCGCCTGCCGAGGCTCCGAACACTAACCCTCCAAGCGGTGGATATGGATAAATTCCCGCCTCGGACCTGGCGCGCGTGGCGAGCCTGGCGCGCGCGGCGCACCTCGCCCCAGCGTCGCGCACATGGGCTCGAACTTGGGTTCCCGGCAGCTGCCCGTCCACGTACGACCCCTGGACATGCTGAGGCTCGGGTGTTGCGTATGTGTTGGGAGGGTGGGTGGGAGGGAGCAAGGCGGCTTGCGGGCGGGCGGGCAGCTTGATCACTGCTCCCAATTAATAAACACCCCCTCCCCCAGGCGACTGGGGTCCAACCAGGATCCATGCCGACCCCCCCCCACCATCCTGTGTAAAAAACAATACAAGACACACTCTGCCTCCAAATTCGGAACATGCGCAGCCAACCCTACGCGGCCCCCCCAACATCCCCTGTCAAAAAACAATACAGAGTACACTTGGCAGCGGCGGCTGCGGCGGCTGCGGCGGCGGTGGCGGCGGCTGCGGCGGCTGCGCGGCGGCGGCGG